AGTGCCCTCCTTGAGCTGAACCACAACCCTTTCCTGAAGACCCAATTCTTCTATTGGAGAAGTTTCTGTCTAAAATTTCCATTTTTAATTTCAATATTATTTACTACAGAAACCATGAACTAAGTATCCATATGATCTTATAAACTCTCCCTCCTGTCTGATTTGTTACATCCTATATCCCTCATGTATTGTTTCTGAGTTTTGTTTGTAAGCTCTTTGGAGGCAACAATCAAAGTTTATCTGCATCAGGATATGCTCAGCACTCTTTAAGGTATTGTAAAACAACAATAATATACACGTAAGGGTGTAGGAAAGTGTTTGATATGTTCTGTCTGAGAACCAGTACATGAGTATGTAATTAAAGACATTGTAATAATTTATATGTGAAGGGGGCAGAGTTAAAGGTTCACCTTAAGCACTCATATTTAGTGAATCTGAAAGTTAACTGAACCTTAAAGTTGGATTAACAATCTTTTGTATTTAATCTAATATTTCATTTTTCTAAAAAGTTAACTTTCTAGTTTTTTCTCTTATAAAGAAAGAGGTTTTATTTCTTCACTATAGAAGTTAATGAGCTGCTGCCCTAAGATTCAGCTTAAAGCCTGTCTCCAGCCAAACAATACTCAGCCCTCCCCGTTCCTATTTGTCTCCAAGGGACCACTGTCCATGCTGTATAGTGATAACATTTCAAATTAAAAAAAAAAAAACAACTCAGCAGAAGACAACGCACAAAACACTGGTCAATATATCACCGTCAGTCTATAAAGTGACTTCTCTGGAAATTGCACCAAAGATTTAGGGTGGGATCTGGCCAGGTTTATTTTTGCCCTCTTTTCTTAGGCCTGGTCTACACTATGAGTTTAATTTGAATTTAGCAGCGTTAAATAGAATTAACCCTGCAACCGTCCACACAACGAAGCCATTTATTTCGAAATAAAGGGCTCTTAAAATCGATTTCTGTCAAGGAGCTCAGACAAGCCTATCAGAAAACAAAGGAGGCAAACGGTCGCTCCGGGTCAGAGCCGCAGACATGCCGCTTCTACGCTGAGCTGCATGCAATTTTAGAGGGGGCCGCCACCACTACCCCACCTCTGACCGTGGATTCCGAGGCGGGGGTAATCTTATCAGCCACACCTGAAGATTCTGCGGATGGGGAAGAGGAGGAGGAGGACGAGCTTGCGGAGAGCACACAGCACTCCGTTCTCCCCAACAGCCAGGATCTTTTTCTCAGCCTGACTGAAGTACCCTCCCAAGCCAGTACCCAAGACCATGACCCCATGGAAGGGACCTCAGGTGAGTTTACCTTTTAAAATATAAAACATGGTTTAAAAGCAAGCGTTTTTTAATTATTAATTTGCCCTGAGGACTTGGGATGCATTCGCGGCCAGTACAGCTACTGGAAAAGTCTGTTAACATGTCTGGGGATAGAGCGGAAATCCTCCAGGGACATCTCCATGAAGCTCTCCTGGAGGTACTCCAAAAGCCTTTGCAGAAGGTTTCTGGGAAGTGCATCCTTATTCCGTCCTCCAAGGTAGGACACTTGACCACGCCATGCTGGTAGCAAGTAATCTGGTATCATTGCCTGACAAAGCCTGGCAGCGTATGTTCCTGGTGTTTGCTGGCATTCAAGCAACATCGTTCTTTATCTCACTGTGTAATCCTCAGGAGACTGATATCGCTCATGGTAACCTGGTTGAAATACGGGAATTTAATTAAGGAGACAGAGGTGGCCGTTCCTACTGGGCTGTTTGCCTGTGGCAGAAAAGAAATCCTTCCCTGCAGTTAGCCAAGGGGGGGGGGGAGAATTGGTGCTGAGCTTTTCGCCTTTGGCAAGCAGGGATCTTCCCTGATACCAGCCACGCGGTGGGGGGAGGGGTACAGCAATCATCCCAGATAATTCAGGGAGGGGGAGGGTTAGTTTGTTTTTTGCTGCTGAACGTTAACAGGAAAACCGCAGCAGTCAATGGGCTTTGCTTGGTATGTGGGAAAGGAGAGCGCAGAAGCCGAAAGACAATGGCTTACCATGGCCGCATGCAAGCCAAATTCTGTTGCCCGGACCTGCGTCTGTGATCTCTAACACCAAAGCCACAGGCACTCAATATTAAGATGAAAAATGCGACCTTGTACTGAAATCACATGTGCTATGTAATGTGAATAGTGTTGTTCACCATGAAAGAGTATAAGCATTGTTCTGTAAAATGTATCATTTTAAAAACTTCTCTCCTTTTTTCATCCCTCCAGCAGCTGCAAATTTTTCAAGCCTCCCTCCTCCGGCCCGAAGGCTATCTCAGATAAGGCGGCGGAGAAAGAGGACGCGAGATGAGATGTTCTCGGAAATAATGGAATGCACCCACAATGAAAGAGCTCATTTGAATGAGTGGAAGGACATGGTATCTAAGTACAGGAAAGATGCCAGTGAACGTGAGGTCATGAGGGACGCTCGAGATGAGAGGTGGCAGGCTGCAACGCTGGGGCTGCTGCGTGATCAAACGGACATGCTCTGGCGTCTGGTGGAGCTTCAGGAACGGCAGCAGGATAACAGAGTGCCACTGCAACTGCTGTATACCTTCCTCCCCCCTCACCATGTTCCATAGCCTCTTCACCCACACGTGTAAGAACGCGGGGGGGAGGCTCCATGCACCCTCCCACTCCACCCCAGTGGACAGCCCAACTAAAAGGCTGTCATTATATTGAATTTTTTCAGTGGCCTTTTACTTCCCTCCTATCCTCCTCCTAAACCTCACGCAGGTTACCTTGTCGGTTCTCTCCCTATGTTTATAATCAATTAATAAAGAATACATGATTTTTAAATGATAGTGACTTTATTTCCTTTAAAAGCAAGCTGTGATTTAAGGGGGGAGGATGGTTTGCTTACAGGGAATGAGTCAATCAAGGGGGCTGGTTTTCAACAAACAGAACTTTCACACCGCAGCCTGGCCAGTCATGAAACTGGTTTTCAAAGCTTCTCTGATGCACAGTGCTTCCTGGTGTGATCTTCTAATCGCCCTGGTGTCTGGCTGCGCATAATGAGCAGACAGGCGATTTGCCTCAGCCTCCCACCCCACCATAAAGGTCTCCCCCTTACCCTCACAGAGATTGTGGAGCACACAGCAAGCAGCAATAACAATGGGGATATTGGTTTGGCTGAGGTCTGACCGAGTCAGTAACGAGCACCAGCGATCTTTTAAATGGCCAAATGCACATTCTACCACCATTCTGCACTTGCTCAGCCTGTAGTTGAACAGCTCCTGACTTGTGTCCAGGCTGCCTGTGTATGGCGTCATAAGCCATGGCATTAAGGGGTAGGCTGGGTCCCCAAGGATAACTATAGGCATTTCAACATCCCCAACGGTTATTTTCTGGTCCGGAAAGTAAGTCCCTTGCTGCAGCCGTTTAAACAGAATAGTGTTCCTGAAGACGCGAGCGTCATGAACCCTTCCCGGCCAGCCCACGTTGATGTTGGTGAAACGTCCCTTGTGATCCACAAGTGCTTGCAGCACCATTGAAAAGTACCCCTTGTGGTTTATGTACTGGGTACGCTGGTGCTCCGGTGCCAAGATAGGGATATGGGTTCCATCTATCGCCCCACCACAGTTAGGGAATCCCATTGCAGCAAAGCCATCCACTATGACCTGCACATTTCCCAGAGTCATTACCTTCGTAGCAGCAGCTCAGTGATTGCTTTGGCTACTTGCATCACAGCAGCCCCCACAGTAGATTTGCCCACTCCAAATTGATTCCCGACTGACCAGTAGCTGTCTGGTGTTGCAAGCTTCCACAGGGCTATCGCCACTCGCTTCTCAACTGTGAGGGCTGCTCTCATCTTGGTATTCTGGCGCTTCAGGGCAGGGTAAAGCAAGTCACAAAGTTCCATGAAAGTGCCCTTACGCATGCGAAAGTTTCGCAGCCACTGGGAATCGTCCCACACCTTCAACACTATGCAGTCCCACCAGTCTGTGCTTGTTTCCCGGGCCCAGAATCAGCGTTCCACGGCTATAACCTGCTCCATTAACAGCATGATCTCCAAAGCACCGGGGCCCGCGGTTTGATAGAATTCCATATCCATGTCCTCATCACTCTCGCCGCCGCGCTGTCATAGCCTACTCCGCGCCGCCTGGTTTTGCAGGTTCTGGTTCAGCATAAACTGCACGATAACGCACGAGGTGTTGACAATGTTCATGACTGCTGTCTTGAGCTGAGCGGGCTCCATGCTTGCCGTGGTATGGCGTCTGCACTGTTCACAAGCACAATATTTTTTAGATTATTCCCAGAATCATAAAAATTCTACATGTATGAGTATATACTGGCCCCTAGAGGGTGCCCTGATGTCAATGTGTTTTCCTCGGAGAATGTTGTATTCCAGGGGCTGGGAATGACACTTTCCCACCCAGCTCTATTCTTATTCAAATAAGAATAACCCATAAGTAGCTACCACTTTTTTAAATAGTTCTTTAAAGTTGAATTGAAATGCTTTTCAAAATAAATAAATTCTCCAGGGCATACAAAAACATGTAAGATCTGACAACATTACAGAGTGCTGGACTTGCTTTACAGTTACAAATAAATTCATTCAAAAGTAAACAAAGGTTTTTACCTGCTGAGATCTGAGTTAAGGGTTTTGTGTTTCTCCTTCAAGAATTGCTGGTATCACCAAACCTAAAGCAACAGAGCAGAAAGTAGCCTTCCTTCTAGTGCTTTAGATCAGTGGCTCTCAACCTTTCTAGATTCCTATACCCCTTTCAGGAGTCTGAATTGTCTTGAGTACCCCCAAGTTTCACCTCACCTAAAATTTACTTGATTACAAAATCAGACATAAAAATACAAGTGTCACAGCACACTATTACTGAAAAATTGCTTACTTTCTAATTTTTACCATATAATTATAAAATAAATCAAATGGAGTAGAAATATTGTACTTACATTTCAGTGTATAGTACATAGAGCAGTATAAACAAGTCATTGTCTGTATTAAACTGTAGTTTGTGCTGACTTTGCTAGTGCTTTTTATGTAGCCTATTGTAAAACTAGGCAAATATCTAGATGAGTTGATGTACCCCCCGGAAGACCTCTGCATACCCCCAGGGTTACGTGTACCACTTGGTTGAGAACCACTGCTTTAGATGTCAGTGATGCCATCAACTCCTGCAGGAGAAACACAGATTCCAGAAGCCAGTTCCTGAAAGGAAAGTAAAACAGGAAAATTTTTAAATATTATTATAAAATATTCTCATTTATAATTTTTAAAGCCACTAATTTTTGGTCTAAATTATTACTTTAATCAGATTTTGTATATATTTAAAGGGCTGTTTAGTTTGCCTTTAATTAAGTTGAATTACAGTGGAATCAAGCTACCATACTTACAAGAATATGATCAGCTTACCAATAGTTAATGAACTCTGTCAAATGCTATGCTGCTCTTGAAACTGTGGAATACCAAGAGGAGGTTGGAGTTGATAGCATATGTAATGCAAGCCAATTCACTTTTGTGTAGTGTCCTTCATACAAAAGATTTTTTTAAATGTAGGTCTGTATTACTGCAGCATATGTAGATCCATAAATATGACAAATAGATTAATAAACACATGTTTATCATACATGCAAAAGACAGATTAATGCAACCTAGTCAGATTTTCATCACACAAACATTAGGAAATTCAGAATTCTCAACAGTTTAGCTTTCCTGTTGGACATATTACCATAGGGTCTTTTATTATACAATCAAAACATCTACAGTAATACAAAATGCTATGTATGTGCATCTAAGGTTGTAAGTTAAATAGAAATAAATTTATTTGGACAGTCTTACTGGAGAAGAATTAACAATATTCATCTTACAAGCCTACAAGTCAGCAACCATGATGAGGATAGTCATTCCTAATGGTCACAGCTGGACTCAGGAGTCCAGTATGAAGTTGGAACAAGACCAGAGTGAGAGCAAAGCTAGAGCAGGCTAAGGTTTGGCACATCCACTGCTATTCTCAGACAGGAGCAAGTTCACAGCTCTCAAGTAACATTCATCAGGGTGAGCTGCTCTGCTGTGCCGCCTGTGAGGCTTATATACCTACCCTAAAAGTCACCAGACCATCTCCTGGGTTGTGGATTGGCTGGTGCCTAGCACAGGAATGACTTATTAGTGTACATGGCTTAATCAGGCTCTAGTTCAGGGATGACTCATCACCTTACAGCTGCAGTAAGACAAAATGAAAGGAAGATAACAACAGCAAGTATTTTGCAACTTTAACTCTAGCAGTTGCTAACAGCCCCCACTTGCTCAAAGGAACTGCACTTTCCTCCATATGCCTAGCAGCGTGTGCAGATACTTTGAGCAGGTGGGCTGTTAGCAACAATTAGAGTAAAGGTTGCAGAATACTTGGTTATAATCTTCCATTTTTGCATATTAATAGTTTTCCAATGCATTCACCTTTGGATCAAATATTTTCTATGCTTGTTTTCTGCCTGAAGGTGAATTGTTTATTTTAACATAAATTACATTGTTTCAACCATTTTTAATTGTGGAAAAATGAACAAATAGTTTTCTTGCATTAAAAATTTCAAGCCGTAGAATCTCTTTCCATGTTTCCAAGTTGAAACTTTGCCTGGATATAGTCCTCTGAGGATTAGTGCTTTTGCTTAGTTTGAAAAATAATTGTTTTTATTTTACAAAGCTAAGAGACTTTGAAAATTGTATACTGAGAACATGCAGTAGCTTGGGGGGCGGGGGGGGGAAGGGGTTGTTAAGAGGTATGTGCTTAGGTCTTAACACTGATGGAAACTAAGTGTGTTCAGGATCTCACAGGAGACACTGAGCATCTCACAGGGCCTTTTATAAGAGAGTAGTGGAGAGGGAAGAGGTGCCCTGACAAATCACCTAAGATAGTGGTCCCCAACCTTTTTTGTCTGGCACCACGGAGGACCATGGCAGCGGACGAGCATCCGCCGAAATGCCACCAACAAGCGGCAACATTAATAGGTGTCACCGTCGAAATGCCACCGAGAAGCAGCGTCATCCAGAGGCGACGTCGCTGGATGACGCTGCTTCTCGACGGCATTTTGGCGGATGCTCGTCTGCTGGCCAGTACGCGGGTCCACTTAGACACCCCGGCAGGCGCCATGGTGCCCGCGGGCACCGCGTTGGGGACCCCTGACCTAAGAGGTCGGTGAGGAGCAGTGGGTGGTTTGTCAGAACAGAGAGCCTTTCCTCTTTGCGTCTCTCTCCACAGACCCTTCCCAACCTCATCCAAGAAACCCCAGTATAAATGGCAGCACAGCTCCAACCATTTCTACTGGGAAATGCTGTCAAAGTTAAATAATATTATCAAATTTAATCATTTTCAGCATCAAAACCTAAAGCTGTTCTGCTGGTTACTAGGATGGCAATCAGGGTTCAGTCTCATCATATGACTGCCTACAAATTTGGGGGAGACCTGATGATTCTTCTTTAACACTGTAAACATTTTGCCACTAAAAACCCTTCAAGTTTAGAAGGAACTCTACTTCCTGAGCCTTTGATTCCTAGTAATCCTGTGCACTTTAAAACAAAGTTAGCCCTGTAGACACAGATTCTGATGGAAAGTTCTCGCTCTTTACAAGTTCCCCTGGACTTTCTACTTTAAACGTTTCTTGCATAGATTCATAGATTTCAAGGCCAGAAGTGACCATTATGATAATCTAGTCTAACCGCCTCTATAACACAGGCCATAGAACTTCCCCAAAATAATTTCTATATCATAGCTTTCAGAAAAACATCCAATCTTGATTTAAAAGCATTATGCAGTTCGCCACTTCTACAAAAGAAAGTGGACGTACACCAGCTTTTGTAACCTGAGCAGATTTCCTGAGCACTTCAAACAAAACACACTGTTTTAGGTAAAATATAGAACAGATTTATTAACTACAGAAAGATAGATTTTAAGTGATTATAAGTAGCAAGCATACAGATAAAAGTTGGTTACCTAAGAAACAAAACTAAATTCACAGTCTGAATTCTACAATCTAAATGGGATTTGAATTAAGCAGTGTCTCACCCTGACAGATGGTATAAACAGGTTGCAGATCTTCAATATACAGGCTGGAACTGCCTCCCAGCCTGGGATGACCCTCCCCGGTTCAAAGTCTTTGTCCTCCAGATGTGTTTCCAGGTGTTCAGTTATGGGGGGAGTGACCGTCTTTTACAGTTTCTTTCAAATTGCAGGAAAGATCTATGCTTGTGAGGTGGAGTCCACCCTCATTGGTCAAGCAGTCTCCATTGTCTACGTGTTCTCTCTGAGAAGTCTTCTGGGATGGCTGTGGGGAAAGTGAATTTCCTTTAATGGGTGATCAGTACATCTGATTACTCCATTGTTGTACCTGAAAGGCTGCTTGTGGGTGTTCCCAATCTCACAACATATTTCAGTAACACACACATAGCAATACTTCATAACGTCACATATAATCCAACATGTTATTAATGTTCAACAAATCAAGACTTTAAAAATGATATCTCACAAGGCATACTTTGTATAAAACGTAATTATATGACAATGGTGAATATGGCAGTTTCAGGGTGCCACTTGGAGGTACAGAATGTCGCTCCCTTGCCTATAGATTAAGTTAATCCAGTTGTAACCTGGAGCAAAACAACAGGATTATGGGCTAGGGTGTAAATTAGGTGACTGAACAGCAGATGAAGAAAGAGAACATTAAAATATAGAGTACAACATCCATTCTTCAGTGAAAAGATATCTCTGTCTGGAAACTACTTCCTGTTCTGAGTTTGATATCTAAGATAAACAGAGAAATTTGCTCTGTTTTCATGTTCACCCAACAACACACTGAGCAAGACTAGAGGAGATGACAAGACATGACACCTGCTTTACTTTACTTTCCCTTCATGAAGGTGAAATCATAAGAGCTTTACATCTCGTCCAGTAATCCCCTCCCTAAAGGTCTTGTAGAAGTCAGAACATTTACAGTCCTGGTTACAAATTAGCTGATTTGCACTGTATCACCACTTCGCTGTCAGACTGTCTCATCTCTGCTCAGTCCAGAACCTATCTTTTCCCTTGTTTGGCTTTTGCTCTGTCTTTTTCTCTCCTGCATTTGTGAAGACTTCACAACTAAAACTCCCATCCAAGCCTTAATCATCTCCTGTCTTGACTAGTGCATCCTCCTCCTTGGCTTTCCTGACACCAACATAACCCTTTTTCAATCAACACAAAATACATCTGGAAAGAACAACTTCCTTGGCTGTTACTCTGACCATATAACCCCTCAACTCCACCTATGAATCCACCTGCTGACTTCTTGCCCTGGCTCTAGAAATTGTGAAGTCAAGAAGAAGAATTCATCATAATCATATCATCATGTTCCTATTACAACTCTGGCATTTAAGAATGTTCCAGTATTGCAGGCTTGGATGGCAGATCATTCTCATACACATTTTTGTAAGGATGAAGTTGTCCTAAAATATCATGCCAAATTCTTGCCTATGATGTTCATGGATTTTTATTTAAATCAGACCATTTATGGAACCAGTCACATGGTGGAGAAAATATTGCATACTGAAGTAACTTTTGTCCTCCAAATATGTTGCCTCCATAGATTCACACTAATCTTCCCTCTTCCCCTTCAACCTGGAGATGTAAAGGATATACCCACGGTTAGAGAGAAGCTAAGTGACAATTTGGGGTGAACCTTTTATACAGTGTGCCCTAGAATCCTGGAACAGAGCAGCGGCCATCCACACACACACTGTGATAAAGTCAGTTTGCCCCGGTCAGTGTCAGGTAATCTGTTCCTTAGTTTCCTCTCACACACTGGACTAATCAAAAATCCTTCCCTTCTAAGGTGAACAAATGTTCCGAATAAAAGAAAAATGCATAGTTCTTCACCCCCTCCTACAGGGGTTCTCCTACTCTTGTAAGAGGAATCAAACCATCCTTCATCCTCTAGTTGGTATCATGAAGAGGTCCCTTGCCCTGGAACCCTAAATCATACAGTAGCTGTGTGCCCTAACCCCAAAACTGCCCTGCTTCATTGCTTTCCTGGGCTTCTTCCCACAATGCATCTTGGTTTAGACCTTCTCCCTGGCCTTTCCCCGCAAGTCCTCTTCCAAACCCCTCAAAGCTCCTTTTCCAGTCTTGTTCTCCAAAAGGCCCCATAACTGATCTTATCTAGACCCATAGTTCTTGAGAACTTTCACCAATCAGTTACTAGCACTCCTCTTTTCAGTTCTACCTCACTGGAGAGACCCACACCAGATCTTGCTTTGTCCCTTGTGTTTTTCCTTCTGAAAGAAAGGCTGCTTCTTACTCAGTTCTGCCCGCTTACTCAGCAAACCTTACTTCCTACCTGCCGTGACATGACCCCCGGCTCTACAGTTCTCAGAATGCCTACTCTTCAAGGGCCAGACGATATGCTAGATCAAAGCTTACCCTTAAATAGAAGCCTGTGACACTCATCCAGTTGCTTTGAAATGGGTTCCTTTGGGCAAGTGATCTCACCATGGAGATCTATCAAGGCCATGCAGTTGGAGAACAAAAGTCACATTAGTAATTAACTTCTCCTTAAAGATCACTCTCCTTATAGTGTGTATGGTAACACCCATTGTTTCAGGGTGTGTGGGTGTGGGTGTGTGTGTCTTCCTACTGTATTTTCCACTATATGCATCCGAAGAAGTGTAGCCCACGAAAGCTTATGCTCAAATAAATTTGTTAGTCTCTAAGGTGCCACAAGCACTCCTTTCTTTTTCTTAGACATTTAACAGTTGCTATCACTGGTATTATCTTATTTTACTTGGTTAAACGTTTTAACATTTTTAGATGCTCTCGTAGGTCTCCAGTTCCCAAGAGGACTTTATTCATATGGACATTTCTCCTTTCCTCTTTTGGCTAGGGAGGATGGACATTTAATGAACTTGATTGGTTTGATTGATTATTCTGTAGCAGTAGGTCCTGGGCTAGAGGACTGGAAAATTGAAATATTGGGTATTACTTCTGTTCTGGCACATTCAAGAATCCTTTTATTATGATTTGAGGCTATTTGCTTTATTCCCTTTTCATGACTACTGCTAACCATAAATATCTCACTGTTATCTTGCACTCCCACTATCTATTGTATTCACCTGTTGTCTCCCATCATATGTTTTGATTGTAAAAGCCTTTTTAGGGCAGGGATCATATTTTCATTACAGGTGTATAACAGTCCCTAGCATAGTGGGCCACTGATTCCTGACTGGGGCTGCTAGGTGCTACCGCAATACAAACAAATACATAATAATATAATAGCAATAAATATCATATAGTAAAAAAATCTTTGGGGCAGATCCTCAGATAATTTAGATTGTCATAGCTTCTTTGAAGTAAAAAATTTGGACAGCAATTGCTATGCAGATTCTATTATATGCATATTCATACTAGAAAGCATCAGTTATTCCATCTGTGTGCTGCAGAAAGGGCATTGTCCATTTTAAAGCAGTCTCATTTGTAAGCATAAGCTATCTTTCCTAGAAGTTCTAGTCTCTGTGGAACGGCACCATGACTGGGCACTGTTTTTAGTCTTCACTCCAGTTTGTATGTCTCCTGTTCCTTTTTTCCCCTCTGGTAGGAAGCCAGCTGGAGGAGCCTCTCTGCACTGCAGTGAAAAGCTGCAGTTCTAGAGAGCTGAGATGTCAAAAAATAATCCTCAAGTATTAAGATGAATCATCTGAAAACAAAAGGTACTTGGATCATGTGGTCTGAAAATCTCTGAAAACCTTTGATCACAGTGACTCTCTTTAGTGATGTACAGTCCCACTTTCAAGGTAGAATCACTTACATTTGTCTATCTGCAAGTTTCTCTCTCTTTATTTACATATTTACTTGTCTCAGTGCAACCACTTGAGACAAGCTGAACTTGATGCAGTCTGGCAAATTACAGCACAGAAAAATAAATTCAATCCTTTGCTTCACTGACTCCTTTTGTTTATAAGGCTCATTTCCCATAAAGTGCATAGACTGTGGTTTCATAGAAATTTTTAGATAGAAAAGAGCTATCACATCACGTTGAGTTCATCTCCTGGAGACTAATACAGATTATTAAAGATCTTAGTGTGGAAAATAACTAACCTATTAACTCCTCAGCAACTGCAACCTAAATCATTTGGAAACACAGCAGAGAAAATTATTCTGTTTTTTTGTTTGTTTGTTTTCAGATTATGTTGCTGTTAGTGTTTCATGACACAATAGATAGCAAGACTCGCATGCACTTGCCAAAATGCTGACTCTTCCTTCCAAACTCTCAGTTTTCTCTTATGTCCTCCGTGTTGACGTGGCAGATTATAAGAAAAAATTCCACTGAAAGCAAAGACATGGATTTATCTGTTATGCTTCTCAAGCAGTAACTTCTCTCAACAGGAATCTTGCAGACTACAGGAACTGACACTTTTAGGGAACACTGCTGATTATTACTTAAATTGGTTTTACAATCATAGACTCAGACTCTTCTTTCACTAAGCTGCATTAACACAGGCCAAATATCTGCTCTTTTGTTAGAAGAGCACAAGTACTGTAAGCCTTTATCATCATCCATACACTCTGTATCCTAAAATAGCCATTGGTGGACTTTCCCTTACACAACATGCCAAGGGCTGATGCCCGGAGCTTGGGCTATTTGATGATCTCTCTCATACATTGTATGCAAGTACTCCAATGACAACATGGCTAGCTTGAATGCATTGTCGATCATATACATAGATTCAGAGTGGTAGCCATGTTAGTCTGTATCAGCAAGAACAAGGATGAGTCCTTGTGGCACCTTAGAGACTAACACATTTATTTGGGCCTAAGCTTTTGTGGGCTAGAGCCCACTTCATCAGATGCATGGAGTGGCACATACAGTAGCTAAGCAGGTATAAATACACAGCCCATGAAAAGATGGGGGTTGCCTCACCGAGGGAGGGGTCAGTGCTAACAAGACCAATTCAATGAGGGTGGACGTGTCTCCTTTCCAACAGTGCACAGGGCACATCCACTGCCCCAGCCCACACAGAACACTCCCTTTGGGGCCGCTCCTGGCGGTGGAGCGGCGCAGCGCCCGCCCCACACACCGGCAACGAGCCGCCCGGCGCTGCCATGACCCGCCCACGGCTCCCCGCTCCCGCCGCGGCCCTCGCTCTAGAGACCCGGCGAACGGGCCCGCCAGGCACCCCAGCCGCAGGGAGGGGGCGGGGCAGCGCGGAACTGACCCTCTCAGCAGTCCCCCCGCCTGCCTCTGAGCACGTGAGGAGAGGAGCTCACGTGAAGCCAAAGGAAGGGGAGGGGTGGTATAGGCAAGGGTGGAGCCAGTGAGATCACGAGACCCCGCCCCCTACTGCTCGTCCGCAATATCTCTGGCTCACGTGTCCACCCCAGCCAATCACCGTGGGACCGATGGCTCTTTAAGAGCCGCGCGCCAGTCACCTGCTTCGCGCTGCAGTAGCGGCTAGAGGTTTCCATGGAGATCATTGACGGGGCGGTTGCCATGGATACAGCAGCGCCCGGGCTGTCTGGCGGGCGCCGCGGCTGGGAGCTACGGAGGCACGCGCTGCTGATCGTGATCGGGGAGATCGGGACAGAGGCGGAGCGCGGGGCGCTGCGGGGCGCCCTGCAGCGGGGTGAGCAGTGGGCGCCGCAGCGCGCGGCACTTTCCCCCCCGCCCGGTGCAGTGACGGCGGCTCCGACCGGGAGAGAAGCGCGGGGCTGCCTGGGGCTGGTGCTGCAGGAACTGTCCAGCCCCGCCCGGGGCGCGTCAACGTGCCGCACTGTCACGCCGCGAGTGGCAGGGGCTGGGCTCCACCGCCAGCCCTGCCCGGCTCCTTACCCCATCCCCC